GAGAGACCGGGGAATTATGTCAGAAATGCTGTTTATTGATTATAGCTCGGCTTTTAATACCATTCTTCTGGACATTCTTATTAAAAAGCTGATGGACCTGGACCTTTCCCCTACCCATCTGTGGTTGGATTAAAGACCTTCTGAGGGATCACACACAAATAGTGAGGATTGGGCCTGTTACATCTACCTCTCTGAAGCTCAGCACTGGCCCTACCTGTACTCGTTGTATACCATATGACTGTATTTCATCTGATCCATCCACTGCAATTATTAAGTTTGCAGATGATACCACCATAATGGGTCTAATTACAGGGTGGAGATGAATCAGCGTATAGGGAGGAGGTTAAAAAAGTCTCCACATGGTGCCTAGAGAATAACTTGCACCTAAATATCAGCAAGACAAAGGAGATGGTGTTTGGACTTTTGGAGGAAGAGAGGGAACTAGCCCCGTTGTATATCAGGGTGGGTTGTGTGGAGAGAGTCTCTTCCTTTAAATTCCTGGGAGTTTACCTTAGTGAAGACCTCACTTGGAAAATCAATACAACCCAGGTGGTTAGGAAGGCCCAACAGAGACTCCATTTCCACAGGGTCCTGCAAAAGAACAAGGTCAAACAAAAATTGATGATATCCTTCTACCTGGCCACAATAGAAAGTGTCCCTTTCATACTTTATTACAGTGTGGTACACTGGTTTGATATACATCTATATTCTCTGCAGCCAAAGATGGAGAAGCTCTATACAGCCACTGGGCCCATCATCTCCTAGCAAATAGAAGGGGAAGAAATGGAGGCAGTGAGAGATTTTACTTTCTTGGGCTCCATGATCACTGCAGATGGTGACAGCAGTCACGAAATTAAAAGACGCCTGCTTCATGGGAGAAAAGCAATGACAAACCTAGACAGCATCTTAAAAAGCAAAGACATTACCTTGCCAACAAAGGTCCCTATAGTTAAAGCTATGGTTTTCCCAGTAGTGATGTATGGAAGTGAGAGCTGGACCCATAAAAGAATTGGCACTGTCGTTAATGACCACCTGCCCCGGGTGTAGCCAGGATTTCTTTTTATGGGGGGGGGGGAATTAGGGTTGCCATATTTTGAAGAGCAAAAAAGAGGACGCCGTGAAGATTCTCATTTTAAATACGGCCTACTATATGTAGGCTATAGAAGCTGTGATATATTGCTGGGGGGGGGGCAGAAGATGAGAAAAGATGGGGAAAGCAAGTCTTCAATCACCAGTCTTGTCTAGGACTCATCCAGAAAGTATAGCCAGAGACATGAAAAAGAGGATGTGTCCTGGAAAAAGAGGACACACGGCAACCGGGGGGGGGGGGCAGACTGAGTTACCTGCGACACAAATTGGTCAGTTAAGTATTTCTTTTTATTTACTTGATTAAGCGGGGGCAGTTTCCCCCCCGAACCCCTGGCCACTCCACCTGCAACCAGGGGCGGAGGAAGGGTGGTGCGGTAGGTGTGGGGCCGCCCTGGGTGTCCCCACTGAGGGGGTGACAAAATGCCGGGCGGCACTCACCATGGGGCCTGCAGTGAGCCCAAGGCTCTGCGCTTTCCAAACACTTTGCCCACTGCCTCCCCCCCCCCAGCTGAAGGGTGACTGAGTGGGAGGAGGCAGGCAGACTCTGGAGGCCCCACAGTGCGCCCTGCCCCATGGATGGCTTGCCCACCCTCGCCCTGCCCCTATGGGCAGCTTGCTCCCCAGGCGCCCAAGCGGCTTCCTCCGCCGCTGACTGTCCCTGGCAGTAATACTGGTTTTAGCCCTGTCACTGGTCAGAGCTGAAGTTGGGATTTTACAACTTTAAAACGAGATGCTACAAATTTTCCCTTGTGATCTCCATAGTAGACAATTTTAAATGTTGCTTGTAGATACAGAGGGGGGGGGTAGACAGCTTTTAAATTTCTTAGCATTTTCTTAAGCATTTTCTTAAAGCGATAGGCTATGCATTTGGGGGCCCTGGGGCCCCTCCCCCAAGGAGAACCTCCAAAAAAGCACACCGTGGAGGAAGAGTTTTCCTGCCTGTCACTCAAAGAAGAATTCAAACTCAGGCTGCAGTGTCTACCAAAATCTTTAATGTTCAGATCAGTGCGATACTTGGGCAAAATGTCCTTAAAAGGCACAGCAGATTCTACACATAGCCAAGCAAACAAAGACATGGACCAGGAATGGAGGACATACCCTGGCTTAGGAGCTAACTCTCTTAAGCCCATAACCCCCCAAAATTTTTAGGGGGCGGGAACCCCCCCCCCAAAAAACTGTTGATGGCCATTGCCATTTAATTGTGTGTGGTGTGTCATGTGACTATGTAGGGCAGGCTTACCGCCCCCCCATATTTTATTCAAGTTGGCCCCCAGCAACCCTGTTATTAGGGAGTGGAGCCGGCACTAATTTCTCCCCCATGCGCAGTGTCCCATGTTTGAAAACAAACCCATTGGTATCCCCTGTATTAATGCGCCAAGGGACTATTTTATGTGTCCGTATGACCAACAGGTGGTGGAAGGAGCGAGCCAGAATCTAGTGAGTGAGACTGTCCCTGGCAGTAATACTGGTTTTTGCCCTCTTACTGGTCAGAGCTGAAGTCTCACTGAAGTTGTTATTTACAACTTTAAAAAGAGATACAACAAATTTTCCCTTGTGATCTCCATAGTTGGCAGTTTAAAATGTTGCTTGTAGATGATAGAAAGATAGACAGACAGACAGAAGCTAAATAGATTCAGTAACTCCCTAAAAAGTGTTAGGAGACGCAATACATTTTAAATTTAAAGGAAACAAAGAAAATAAGAAGACCAACAAAGAATTAATCATAGTAAAACAGGGAGAGTAAATTCTGGACAGATGCTAGACTTTGAGAAAGCCCCCAAAAGAAAGCTTAGCCAAGAAAAATTTAAACTGAAAACTCATAGAAAACACCAAGATGAAGATTTTAAAGAGAATCAAGAAAAGCAGATATACCTGATGACTAGAAAGGCCAAGGGAAAATGAAGATACATGAAGGAATGTGAGGGGCAAAATCAAGTTTATTTCCCTTTCGACCAACAAGTCTTTGGATGTACAAAGGAGCAGAGGAAAGGGTGGGTGGAGATGAAGTCTGCTTCAAGCAGAGTGAAGAATAATTGCAGAAAATAGAAGGCTTTTCTTTTAAAAGGCAACTGGAGAAGCCATCTCATAAAAAGAAGGCTGGCGTTTCTGTTGCCGAAGTTATTATTATCATTACTGTTGTTACTATTTATTGAATTTCTATACTGCGCTATACCCGAAGGTCTAAGGGCGGTTCACATAAAATATCAAATGCACCAAATCGAAACAAAAAGAACGACCCAAGAACGGGTTTCCAGAGCAGAGACAGCAGGAGTCAGGCTACCCCTGTCCAGAGAGGGGCGCAACTGGGCCACCAGCTGAAGCTGATGGAGGGCACTGGGGGTCACTGAGCGCCTTCCCTTGTCTCTTGACAGAGGTGCAGGGTGACCAAGGCCGTTTCCGTGCCAAAGGCAAGCCTAAACCCTGATGGAAATGGACCCAGATATTCAGCTTCTTCCAAGAGCACCTGGATCTGGTCTGCAACCACTCGCTCCAGAACCTCGCTCCAGAAGTTGGAAAAACCAAGACGGGTAAGATTTTAACACAGGTAAGACTTAGAAGTGAGAAGGGTAGGGGGATCTAGGGGGATCCAGAGGGAAAGAAAGCTGTGCATGCGATAAAGAGCAAAGCAGAGGCGCAGAAGACAACATAGTTCCATTTAATGTCATTTTAGCTCAGATTGCCTTGTTGACAAAAATGCTTTGCAGCCATTTTGTGGTAGCTTAGTGGGGACTAGAGATAAGCTCCTTCACTAATGGGAAGAACTTCCTTTCATTTATAATGTGGCTTCCCAGGAGTAGAATAACAAACCCTCTTGTGCAGCAGGCTTGAAAGTTATGGCATTTGGCACCTGAAGCCAAACAATTGTACTTACTGGGCAACTGCAGAAGAGGGTCACCAAAATATTGTTGAGTTTTTGTTCCTTCCGAAGTGTATAAATCCAGAAGGTTCCAAACATGCCAGCATTTTGCATCCTCGCCAGTAATTCTGTTCCCAGGGGTATTTAGCTATTTAGAATACCCATTTTAAAAGCTGATGCATCAAACTGCTTCTTTTGCTGTAACAGTTGCCTTGCTGATTTCAGTGTGAAAAAGCAAATAAGGCATTTTGAAGAAGTGTGCATGCACACGAAAGCTCATACCAAGAACTAACTTAGTTGGTCTTTAAGGTGCTACTGGAAGGAATTTTTTTTGTTTTGACTATGGCAGACCAACACGGCTACCTATCTGTAACTAAGGCATTTTGAGGGTGAATCTACTGATGGCAATGGGAGAGGTGGCCTGGTAGAGGCCTTGGAGTGAGTAGAGGTTTTCACCATTTTGCCAGCCATTTTTAAGCAAAAAAAGTCCAGCAAACATTTAAGCACAAACATATTCACAATTAGGAAGGATGAGCCGTGACCATTTTTCCTGTTCATAAAGGGCAGAATTTTTTTCTGCTAATGGTAAGGCTGAAATGACTGAGAAAATATTTGAAATCTTATGAATCCCGACTCTCTGGCCATTTTTACTCATACATAAGGGGGTGGCTGATTGTTCCACTAATGACCAGAGAGGGCCACACAAAATCATATTAACCCACATTTGTGAAACATTTTGGAATAGAGGTCTGTACCCTTCAATCCTGTAGATAAAGGAGGCATGTAGCTCCCAATTTTCTTTGCCTGGGGTACATGTATGATTGTTTAATGCAGGGAACATGATCCATAAATGCTGAGACTATTCGAAATTTAATTTGACCCAGATGGTATTACTGGCTTTTTTGTGAAAACTTGCACAATAGGGTTGATAGTTGCTGGGTTTCCAACAAATACAAAAATCAGGATCCTCACCAGTACTTCTGTTCCAAAGGTAATAAATTTTTAAACCTGCTGTAGTGAACTGCTTATTGCCTGTAACCTCTCACTTGGTTACCTTCAGCTGCAATCGTAGCTTCTGTTAATAAAACATTTGAATTATCAGAGGTGGCACTAATAACTAACAAGTAATCTCTATATGCTCTATCGTAATCATAGCAGCAATAAATTTGTGTGTCTTCTGGCTGAAGGTGAGTATCTTGTGCTTGGCTGAGGGGAAAATCTCTTTTGTGTTCTGCCTGCAACTCTTTGTACAAAGATTCTTTCAGGTCGCAGTGAGGGGACCATTCAAGCACCCTGAGCCTGTTGGAGAAAAGGTAGGCTCTAAGTGGAATCATACATCAAATATGCAAACTAAATATTCCAAAGAGCTTGTATTGAGCAACATTGGTTATTCAATCCCTGTTTCAGAAGAGCTGTGAACTCGAAAGCCGAATGCAGTCACTCTGCGTGCTTCTACCTGGAGGGACTTCTCTTGTCGGGACACCACTGCAGGGGAGGCCCTTTCCTGTGCCATCACCACACAATAAGGTACATCTTTTGGTGGGACGGCCATCCTTGTTTGGTTCCAGCTTTTTTTTTTACAGACCTCAGAGAGCTACCTGTGCCGGAGGCAGATCTGCTCCATTGACAAAAGGCAGTGTCAGAGCTTTTGATCCATCAGGTGAACATCTGCAGTGCAGGATTGAGAGACACCTGCGTCTTGACTGTGCTGCTTTAGGTAACCGGCTGTTTTTGCTCCTGTGTCTGGAGGGGAGGGCTGCTGAAGACCCTAGTCTCTTCCAGGTGCATCTCAGTCACACAAGAAATAGAATTTTGCAAGCCTTCAGGAAACTTAACGGCAAGTGAACTTCACACTCCACAATTCAGTGATCTTTTTCAGTACAATCCTTTTGGGCTGGCTTCTCCATTTCCCCCCGCTTGATCTCTTCACAGTTCTGTCCAAGAGCCCACCACACTCAGGGGAAGCCAGCTCTTCCTGCAGAAGTCAGGTCAGTCAGAACAGCTGGGTTCCAAAAACATTTCTCTGGAATTGGCGGGAATGGGCCGGGGACAAACTAATGAGTCCAAATTGCTTTTCACAGACCAGCAGAAGGAACTTCCAGGCCCATGAATTCACACTTCAGAGGGACAAACAAAAAGGTGAGCATAAAGGCAGAGTTTGAAGACTGGAACCAGTCTCTCTGTTCTGTCCTGCAAATTAATGGCAGTCAACATGGCACTCTGTGACTTAAACACATCTAGGTGAATATCGGATAAAACCTCGATTGTGTTCTGTCTGCAGCTTCATAATTCTTAAGGGTTTTCTTTTTTCCTGAGAGAACATTCTGTATTCAGAGTGTTCTCTCAGGTTTTGCTTTTCACCTTGTTGCATTGGCCAAAAAAAAGCAAAAGACGCTGGTGGTTGGCGCTCCTGGTTTCCAGGACGGGGTTCAAGCCCCTGCGGTGTCCCTGCTTACTTCCAATGCAACCTCTCTGTCTGTCTGTCTCTCTCTCTCTCTCTCTTTCTCTATCTCTCCCCCTTAAGAACTAAATGAAGCGAAGTGCTCCTCTGATGCATCACTAATATATAATATTATAGTTTATATATTATATATTATATAATATATAGTTATATATATATAATATATAACTAATATATGAGATAGACTCATGACATACAAAGCGAGATATGTCAATCCTTTATTTGTTATAATTGTGATATTATAGGGTACAGCTGATAAAAACCTCAAATTAACAATCTCAGAAAATTAAAATATTGTGAAAAGGTGTAGCTATTCAATCCATAACACCTGCAACGGGTTCAGTAGGAAGCACAATCATGGGGAAGGCTGCTGACCTGACAGTTGTGCAGAAAGCCGTCATTGAGACCCTCCATAAGGAGGGAAGGTCTCAAAGGGTAATTGCAGAAGAAGTTGGATGTTCCCAAAGTGCTGTATCGAAGCACATTAATGGAAAGTTATGCGGAAGGGGAAAGTGTGGAAGAAAAAGTTGCACAAGCAGCAGGGATGACCACAGCCTGGAGAGGATTGTCAGGAAAAGACCATTCAAACATGCTGGGGACTTTCACAAGGAGTGGACTGAGGCTGGAGTTAGTGCATCAAGAGCCACCATACACAGATGGATCCTGCAGATGGGCTTCAAATGTATTCTTCTTGTCAAGCTGCTCCTGAACAAGAAACAACGTCAGAAGCATCTTGCCTGGGCTAAAGAAAAAAAAGAACTGGTCTGTTGCTCAGTGGTCCCATGTCCTCTTTTCTGATAGGAGCAACTTTTCCATCTCATTTGGAAACCAAGGACCCAGAATCTGGAGGAAGAATGGGGAGGCACACATTGTCAGATGCTTGAAGTCCAGTGTGAAATGTTGATTTGAGGAGCCATGCCATCAGCTGGTGTTGGTCCACTGTGCTTAAATGAACTCGCCCCATTACTAAAACTGGTGGATGTTCACAGCCGTAAAGTAAATGTATCAAAAATTACCATTCTTCTATATGCAGATGATATGATTGTGCTCTCATGAACTAGAATTGGCTTAAAGCGTTTGCTAAATGCCTGTATCTACTATTTGTCTAGAATGAAAATGAGCATGAACTTCAATAAAAGCAAAATAATGGTCTTCGGGAATTCTCGTAAGATATATAGTTGGGTTTTTGGTGGGAAACATATCCAGCAGGTATTCAGATTCAACTGTTTGGGGATCACTTTCCATCACAGGCTCCAGTGCTCCTCACACAGCGCAAGGGCGGTAAATGCCAGCCAGCTGTTTATGCAGGCCATATTGCACTTTTTTGCAACAAGAGGAAACCAACACATCCCTTCTGCCCTCAAAGTTTTTAATGCTAAAGTTAGAGCCAAACTGTTCTATGGAATTTCAGTCTGGATGTCAGGGTTTACCCAGTCAGTGGAACAAGTGCAGGCAGCCTTTCTGTTGAAGATTTTCGCTGTCCCACACTGTGTACCTTACGCAGCCTTGTTGTGTCTAGAGGGAAGCCAACAGAAGCTAGAGACAGTTGCCTGGACGAGTTTTCTTTTATGCTGGCTAAACATTTGTTTTTCAGCAGACAAAGATACTTTACTTAGCAAAGTTTTGTCAGACCCCTTCCCTTCCCTTCTCCAGGGCTACAACTGTTTTGCACAAAGTTGGGGCAACTTGGGCTTTCAGAGGATCTCCTGGGTGCTGTGGCTTTTCCAATCGCCAAGGCCATGTTAAAAGTTAAAGAAAGTGAGCAGTTGGGTCCCACAAGGATCAGAACCGCTATTATTTCATTTATTCATTTTGTGATCTGGAATTAGTGCTGGAGACTATTGAAAAAGGAACTGAAAATGAAACGGTCAGTATTGTAATGTCCCTGTACAGTTCTATAGTGTGGTCCCATTTGGAACACTGTGTACAGTTTTGGGTGCCATCTCTCTAAAACGAATATGGCATATCTGGAAAAAGTGCAGAAGAGGGTGTTCTCGCTCTGTGTGGGATGGTCATTCTCTTACATGGAGTGTGTGGCTTTGGGGGGGGGGTGCACAGTGATGGGGATGGCAGACACATTCCTTGCCAGTCTGATCAGCCAGATCAATCCTGGTGATCAACAGGGTGATAGATGTGGCAACCAGATTGCTCTTACATCTAGAATTGGGCAACCAAATGATTAATGGGGTACAGTGCTTTTCCTTTGAGAAAAGGCTGAAGGGTTTGGAGATGTTCAGTCTATTAAAGGTCTATATAAGAGGGTAGCAAACACGACAGAGGTTAGAAAATTAAATAAGATAAAGTGGTTAGAGAGAACTTTTCGTCACTCTCCCAAAATACTGACCTCAGGGGCACCCAGCGAAAGGAAAAACCACTTTATTCCATGAGAGATTAAACTGTGGAGTTAACTGCATGAAGATTTGGTGATGGCCACAGGAAAAAAATATTATTGGGACAAAAATTCAGGCCCACTGGTCTTATGTACCCGTTTAAAATTAACTTTGGGAAATTATTCCAATAAAAGAGACCATGCCAATATATAGAGCTTTCTTAGTGACATTTCTGAACAATTGCACAGAAAGGTAGAGACAGAGACACTGAATTAAAGCTGATCATTTAACATTTTCCTGTATAATTTTATATACATTTGTGCCAAGAGAAAGGAGAAATGGATATGGAAATGACCGGCAGAATCCGAGACCAGGGAGAAGAGTCGGTGGAAGAAGATTGGAAGAAATTTAAAGACTATTTACAGAAACACTGCAAAATCAATGAATGTTAGAATGATGTTGGATTGAAGTTAAGCGGTTTTTAGTAGCAATGTTATAAAGGAATATGTAAAATGGTTTGTTAACAGGTGATAATATAAGGCTATAATATATTAAGATAAAAGATTAAGATAAAATCAAAGAGGGAAAGGATTTGCTGAATTAACTAATTGAACTGGAATACAAAAAGGGAGGTGTGAGGAGGTCAGGGAAACGAGCAAATGAAAGATAAGATTTGGAAAAACTGATCTGTTTTTAACTGTTTTTACTTTGTATTTTTCTTTTTTCTTTTTTTTTCTTTTCTTATTTTTGTAAAATGTTGAAACTTCAATAAATATATTTAAAAAAAAGAAAGAAAGGAGAAACGGATAGAACTAGCAGGATACACACAGATGATAGGAGAACTGAGAAAGTCAGAGCTTGGGTTCGATATTTAAAAACTATAATTTAAACATTTACTGAACAGTCACAAAGATCAAATATGCACAACTTTCTTTTGCAGAGGTCATCCTGCAATTAACTATCAGCCTCATGCAGCCTTCTCCTCTGTCTGTCCACATGCTCATCACACCTGAAAGCATAATGCAGAGAATTAGATGCTGAACTTACATTCTTCATTCCTCCTTTCATAACAACTTTCCCTAAACATTTATCTGATCTTTTAGGAAGATATTTCAGGCTTTAGGTGCCATCATAACACTAATGTTTCAAAAATGATAACAACAGGGCATTTTTGACAACTGGAAAAGGCACTTCAGGTGTGGTGCGGCGGTTATGAGTGGTGGACTCAGTAGCGAAGCTGCAAGCTCTGGCACTGGGGGCAGAGAGCAGGTGAGTGCGTGGCTTGTGCGCATCCCAGAAGGCATGGAGTGCGTCCCGGGGGCATGGTGCACTGCACGTGGGGGTGTGGTGTGCATCCCGGGGGCATGGCGAGCATCCTGGAGACGTGGTGTGCCGCCAGTGGGGACGTGGCGCCTGGCGCGCCAAGGGAGCGCGGCATGTGTCCGGGCGGGGGTGGCCGCAATGGCACCTCAACAGAATGGTGGTGCCGGGTGCGGTGGGTTCACTCCACACCCATTCCTCCTGAATGAAGAGGCAACTAAATGGGAAAATTGTTCCATCGTGACCTAGCTCTTTGGTCATGATCACCCTGGAGGCAAGAAAGGCATCTATTATGTGGTCATTTATCCAGTTTGATCCTTTCAGTGTGTCTATGTCATAACCATACACACAGATGTTGGCAACTGAACCCACAAGTTACTCGGTTTGTAGACTGAGTGTGTTGAAGGTACAGTTGTGCCATGGGGGAACTGATGTAGAAATCATTGATTTGCCCAAATACTTCTCACTTTGCGTTGAGAATATGGGGCTTCTATCACAAGAATCAATATTGGTCACTGTCAAATCCTCTTTCCCACTTTTTGGAGTGGAGGTCATCTGAGGTTGAGTGCTTTCCAGGTCTCTCATAGTCAGTCAGTGATCTGTTTTTAAGGAGTCCAGCTCCTCAGCAGCCTGCACTGAATCAGATGCTGGAACTACAGTTATCTTCTCCTTCAGTCTGGAGAACTTTCTTCCTGAGCTACTCTTCTGCCTTTTATTTTGCTTCAACTGTGTGAGCTGCAACCGGCAAGGCTTCCCTGGTTCTGGTGGCATACCGACAGATTTTTTGGCAGCTATAATATGGTAGCAAGTCCTGGATGATGGGCAAGAGCAGCTCTCTTTCGGAAAAAGGCGGACAACATAATGCTTTCCCTTTACTACCCCTTACAACAAAAACACCAAGCTATTAAATTGTTCAGTACCGTAAAGCCCGCTAGTACCATTTGACAAACTGATGGTGCCTTCTCATAGTTTTCATCTTTCTTAGGCCACGGAAGTTCTCCCCTTTGTACAAGATCCAAGATTTGTGATGGATCACAAGCTATATAAGGAAAGACTGTATGTTCTGGCGATCTTGAGTGTCTGATAAACTGAGGCTGCAAATGGAAGCTTCCAGTGTTACATAGTCCACGCAAAGTTTCTCTCCGGTAAAAATTTTGCATTGCATATAAGGATAACACCATTGCTTCCATCGTCATTTCTTTCCATTGTGAAAGTCTTTTTAATGCTGCATGAAAACTCTCAGAGACATTTGAGGTGATTCCACATTTTTCTTTATATATGTTCAGTCTCTTTAGAATCCAGGCCCCAGCATGAGTTATTATTGCTTGGTGCAGTTTTTCCTTAAAGTAGTCCAAGAATGCTTTGCTCCAACCTGTCCTGAGTTTATCAAATTTGAATGTGTAGTCTTGCTCAGAATTTGACCTCAGAAGATCAAAAAAGTCAGCAAGGTATACCTTGGTATCCTCTGAACTGGCCACGATGTCTCTGCGGATGTGATTCCAGCACACCACTCTGTGGCTCTTGAGCAAAACATGATCCAAAGCCTTTTCAATTCCTTTTTCTCTGTCAGACACTAGGACAACTTTTTCTGAATTGAGCAATGGACACTGCTTTGAAAGGGTCTCCTGTGATTGTCCTCTCGCCTGCTGTCATGCATCTTGAACATTACAGGAATCAGTGGTGATTCAGCGAAAAGCACATTTTGAAATAGTAAAGTAGATAGGAAGAAGTCTCCAAGTTGAAAAGTTGTGTCATATGAAAAAAGCATAGGTAAATCTGTCTTCAGTGATATTATTTTCCCAATTTCAGACGAAATATCCTGTAGGCCCATAACAACAATCACTGTAGGAGAGAGAGAGATATCATGGATGAAGCCTTCAAGGCGTTCTGTTAATTCAAAAACACTGTACAAATCATCACGACTGATTTGTGAACGTTGTCTTTCAAGCTTGTTTCTTTCTTACCTAAGGAAACAAAAATCAAAATTGTATGGAATGCTTGTAAAGTACAGTGGTACCTCTGGTTACATACTTCATTTGTTCCGGAGGTCCGTTCTTAACCTGAAACTGTTCTTAACCTGAAGCACCACTTTAGCTAATGGGGCCTCCTGCTGCCGCTGTGCTGCCGCCGTGCAATTTCTGTTCTCATCCTGAAGTAAAGTTCTTAACCCGAGGTAATATTTCTGGGTTAGCAGAGTCTGTAACCTGAAGCATATGTGTCAGGGCCGCCTCAGGTCCCAGCTCACAAGAGACCAACGCCAAGTCCACTTTATTTACAAAAGTCTTTATTGAAGTACATTGTTTGTTCCACAGCAGAGGCGGGCAGCCCCACGTCTGTTACGCTTAGACCGCTGAAGTCCCCTCTGAATCAGTCCCGCCTCTACACCAGTTTAAGAGGCTTGTGCTGGTCCACCTCTTCCTGTCCTTCCTTTTCCGCAGGGTCTTTCTGCCCCCCTGGGTTCCTTCCCTCCTGCTTTCCCCTGACGCTGAGTCCCCAGACGCCTGTTCCCCCCTCCTCCGTGCTTTGGGACCAGGCTCCTCCTCCGGGCTCTCCGCATTTCCGCGCGCCTCCACATTTGAACTTGGCGCGCGTTCGCTACCCCTGACCTTCCTCTTGACAGCTACACTACTCTCTGTACTACTCTCCGCCCCTTCCGGCAGGACGTCTTGCCCCGATCTCCTTCCCCTCTCTGCTTCCTGCTCTGCTTCGCCTGTCACACTGGGAACTCCACCCTCTTCACTCCGTTCCGGCGGGGAAGCCGGCCCCGATCTCCAACTCCCACTGGGGGTTTCCCTGCTGCTCCCCTGCTCCTGACGAGTCCCCCCTGTGGCTCCCCTTGGCCTGACCAGGGGCGCCCCCTTTTGGGAATCCTCCGATTCACTTGAGAGACTCATGGAAACCCTCAAGTCATTGTCCTCCTCCTCGTTCCTGGATTCTTCCCCCTCGCTCTCAGTCTCCTCCCTCATCTGTGCCTCTCTCCCTGAACCCCTGACAATATGTAACCTGAGGTCCCACTGTAGTCATGAGAGGTCATTTCATACAACAAAATGCAGTAAAAAAAAAAAAAAAAGAGCCAAGGAAGCAAGGAAAAAAGAAATTTTGGATGCCCAAGTTAGGAACAAACCCAAATAAACAATTGATAAAACAGGCAAGAAAATGATTACAATCACAGCATTCAATGTTAATCAATGAAGAAATAGCATGGAAAGTTAAAAAAATGAAGCCAAAATTCTTTGAGCATGCAAACAAACCCGGAAAGTTGTTAGCATGGCAATTAAGGAGAAATCAACAGATGAATTATATATATATATATATATATATATATGCAGGTTTTGGTGTCCTCGGGTGTCTTCCCGTGTAAAAGTTGGGGTGTCTAGGCGACGTTTCGACGAGGTCTCACTCGTCATCTTCAGGCTGGTGCTTTCGGCTTCTTGTTACTGGAACAGAGCCGGATCTCAGTGTTTGAGTTCCTATAAATACTGTTGAGGGGTGTGGTGTATAGCCTCCAAAGTTCTGGGCAGAGAGGAAGTTCCCAGGCTAGTGTGCCTTTTCTTCTTTTGTTCCTTAATTACTTGAGGGATATCTTGAGTGATTTCTTGAGTGATATTCTGAGTACCACTTAGGTGGGTCATTAGGTGTGGATTAGTTGCTAAAGCCTTCGTGTCTTGACCTCTTGAGCTTTGTGAAGAGTTTTTCTGAGAAGATGGCTGTACTGCACTTAGTTGTGCTCTGGCTTGGCTTCGTGTATAGGGGCGAGCTGTGGTTTTGTGTCCTGTGCCAGCCAGATCTGTGTAGGGATTGCAGGGGGGTGCAGCATCCGGAGGTGCCACCATGGTTTGGCTACTGGATGGTGTCTGTAATTTATCTGTGGAGAGGGTCTGGGTTTGGGTCTGGTGTGGTTGATTGGTGATGGCGTTCTGTGTGCCTCTGGATCTGGTGTCGGTTTTTGTGGGGAGGGCTAATTTCCAGATGTCTGGCAGGCGGGATGTGTCGTCACGCTTGTTCATGTTGTGAGGGTGTTTCTCTATCTCGATGGCTTCCATGATTATTCTCTTGTGGTGATGTTCCATGTTAAAGAGCAATTTGGAATCTGCAAAATTAATTTCGTG